GACTCGTATAATCATGTCTAATAGAATTTCAGTAATTTAAATATCTGCATAGTATAATCAGGCTCAACATTTATCAATTCATGAATGTCTGAAAGCAAATAGCCAGCCAATAAAGACAAATCAAAACTATGTCAGAAAGTGTATTGGGGTACAAGTATAAGATGGAATAAGAGTCCGTTAGTTAACATTATCATTTAAATACACATAAAACATACAGTCATTCAGAACAAAGGCTAAGATGTGAATGATATACTAATGTATCTATAATCAACAAAATGTAAGTTTAAGTATGAGTTACGTTCAGCGGATTTAAAAAAATATGATTACCACATAAATAAAAATAAACAAATGGGGAACGCTGAATGGTAAGCTAGAAGGCTGACAGATAATAAATATGATGATAAAATGAAGTGGTCAAATAAGAGAGACATGATTAGCCTAGAGTAAAGCTCAAAGGTTAACTAATGATAATAACCCAGACTCCGCACAATGTCCCCTTTTATGATACATATTTCCCCTCCCCCTTTTTTGAAGCACATCTTCCCCCTAATTACCTTTATTTCCCCATATTAGTCGCATAATTTCCCCCTTATTCTCTATTCGGGAAGAGATCAACACAATTGAAATCTATAAAAGACAGCCAAGGAAACCCAATTACCAAGAAAGAAAGACAGATTAAACAATGGGCGAACGACTTCAAAGGACTCTTGAACAGACCACCACCTACAACCCGTCCAGAAATACCAACAACAGCACGTACACAACTGCAAGTTGACACCAATCCTCCAACGAAAACTGAAGTTATGAATGCCATCACGCTTCTGAAAGCTGGAAAAGCAGCTGGACCAGATAGAATACCCCCGGAAGCACTGAAAGCGGACCCAGAGACGACAGAAGATACGTTGACTCTATTATTGCAAAAGGTCTGAAAGGAGGGGAAGGTGCCAACTGACTGGAGGAAACGTTACCTCGTGAAACTACCAAAGAAGAGCCACTTAGGACTCTGCAAGAACTGGCGAGGAATCGTGCTCCTGTCGACGCCAAGTAAAATCCTGAGTCGCATCATCCTGGAGAGAATAAAGGATGCAATGGATACAGAACTCCGACCAGAACAAGCTGGATTCAGGAAAGGCAAATCGTGTCCTGACCAAATTGCAACTCTACGCATCACCATCGAACAAAGTATGGAATGGCAATCAAACCCCTACCTCAACTTTATAGACTTTGAGAAGGCTTTCGACAGCGTTGACCGTGAAGTAATTTGGAAACTACTCGAGTACTATGACGTACCCCAAAATATTCATCAACCTTATTCAACAGCTGTACGACAACGGCACATGTCAAGTGATCCACAACGGAAAACTCAGCGAGGCGTTTGGAGTAAACACAGGAGTCAGACAAGGGTGCTTATTATCACCAATGATATTCCTAATTGTGGTGGACTGGGTTATGCATCAGACAGTGGGAAACGAGAAGACAGGGATATCCTGGACCGACGTGAAGAACCTAGAAGACCTGGATTTCGCGGATGATTTATGTTTGATGTCACACAAAATCGAAGACTTACAAGCAAAAACCGACAAACTGGTCGAAGAGGCTGGCAGCAAAGACAGGACTCCAGGTGAACATAGACAAGACGGAGGTTATGAAAATAATCAACCAACCAACAACAACAACAGCAGCTACTGGCAGCTGCATTATAGATTTTTACAGCATTCATTTAATTGTATTGTCACTTACAGCAAAGATCCTTTGGTTAATCTATTGATTGTCTACAGCAACCTGTGAAAAATAAAACAGAATTTCGTTGATTGACATATATACAATGAAGCGGTTTGTAGTTCACTTCATTCCACTAATGGAATGATAAAATATGAGATGATTTCGTCCTTGATGAACTTATAGTAGACCGTAATAAACAAACAGGATGAATGTACTTTTTTTGTACTCATAGGTCAGGTTTCTTCTTATTAATCTCTATAGTTTCAGCTATAGCTAGGAGACGTAATCGTGCGCCTGCATTATTTAGTACTCAATACACAGCCGTAAATGGCTCATCTGTTTCGGTGCGGTGTTCACTTACACGCCCACCCCCGAAACCTATACTTTGTTAATTCTAAATACATTAGTATGTTACTTACTTGTCTGTTCATATTTTATCTTATTTTCTGCATTATATATATGTATTTAACTGACAATGTTAACTAACGGACTATTATTCCATCTTATACTTGTACCGCAAAATACTTTCTGACATAGTTTTCATTTGCCTTTATTGGCTGGCTATTTTCATTCAAATATTCATGGATTTATAACCGTAGCGCCTGACGAAGAACTTGTTGAAAACAATTGTTCATTCAGAAAAAATTTCCCTGTTCTCACTAATAGATTTTCTTTCGACTATTAGGAATGCATTGTACAGAAAAACATGTGAACGAAATATGTGATTTCCAAGAGATAGTTTTTGGGGATTTGATTTGCTTTCAAGTTTGACCACGGATTAATATGAGTTAGAGAACCATTGGAAACCAGCAGGGAGTACTGGACAGCTGTGTCATCCTAGTTTGGGAATCATCAGCAGAACTCCTCCCCTGGGGTTCGAAATGGCTGGTGGTCATGAATTGTTAGGAGTTAGAATTAATGGGTCCCAAAGTCAGGTTCCGGTGGATGACTGGTCTACAAGCTTTCTTTGTAACCGGAAGGTCCCGGGTTCGAACTCTAGTGGTACTGTGTACTGTCGATGATCCCCAAACTAGGACGAAACAGTTGTATATTACAGTCTGATTTCTAATGGTTCTCTAACTAATATCACTCCGTGGTCAAACTTAGAAATATAAGATACGGAAAAAACTAACCCAGTAATGACATAATTACAGTGAATACTAAGTCTCTCAGATAAAGGGTTCGTTAATGTTTAGTGAGTATACAGAATCAATTAAATTGAGATATACAGATACAAGATTCGACAAAATGTTGTCATTAATAAACCATGTGTGAGAATGCAGTCTCAAAACAGAAGATGACCAATTTATATTCCTATGTATTAACTCACTTAGACTACTACTACTTCGCTACTATGGGGTGCCACCGACAATTATACATCTCATCCAACAGCTGTACGACAATGCTGCATGCCAAGTAATCCACAAGAGGAAACTTACGGAACCCTTCGAAGTGAGGACAGAAGTAAGACAAGGCTGCCTCGCTGCCTACTATCGCCAATGATTTTCCTGATTGCAGTAGACTGGATAATGTGACAAACAGCGGGCAATGAAGAAACAGGCATAAAATGGACACACACAAAAAACTTGGAGGATCTTGACTTCGCCAATGATATATGTCTGATTTCCAACAAACTGGAAGATATGCAAGCGAAAGGCAACAAGTTGGCAGAAGAAGCATCAAAGATAGGACTTCAGGTGAACATAGAGAAAACAGAGGTGATGAAGATTACTGGGCAACACCACCAACAGCAATAACAACAACTGACAGCAATCAGCATAAATGGGAGGAACCTGAAAGAAACAACCTCCTTCACCACCTACCTGGGAAGCATCGTTTCAACTACAGGCCGATGGAACTGACGAGGATATCAAAGCAAGAATAGGAAAAGCAAGACAAGCTTTCACTACTCTCAAGTCTGTGTGGAGGTCAACAACACTCAGCATGAAAAATAAGATCCGGATTTTCAACTCCAATGTGAAGTCAGTCAGTGCTACTATACGGATCAGAGACTTGGAGCGTCTCAAACAGACTACAGAGCTTCATTAACAGTTGCCTTCGCTCAATACTCAAGATCAGATGGCCGGCTACAAAAGATCAGCAACAGAGATCTCTAGGAGCGAACCAGCCAGGAACCGATGGTGAAACAAATAGGCAGGAAGAAATGGAGATGAATTGGCCATACTCATAGGAAACCATCAAGTGACATCACTAGACAAGCCATTGCTCGAGTGAAACCCGAATGGGAAGTGGCGAGTTGGTCATCCAAGGGTGACTTGGAGGAGGTCATGTGAAGAGGAGATGAAAACTTGTGGACAGACTTGGAGCCAGGTGAAGACTCCAGCAGAGAACCGAACGCAATGGAGACGCACTGTTGAAGCCCTATATTCCTCTAGGAATTAAAGGAAACAATAATAATAATAACTCACCTAGATGTTGAAAGAGAGTAATTAGTCAATCGGTCTTTTGCTAAACATCTCTGAGTGGATTCAGTGGGAATATCTGACCATTCCTGTCTCAGATACCAGGTCACGATTTGTCACAATAAAGAACCAAAAGCCTGGGAAGTATGAAACAGCCTGATTACTCCAACGTGGCTAGGGAAAAGGAAGAACTTCTTTTAATCTAGAAAATTTTAATGCATTTGGCACCAGCCATATGATAACACAGTTTACAAACAGATTCTAAGGCTGAAAACAATATTTCTTGTATTAAAACTTTTGCAAATATGAAGGCACATCAACTACCAAGACCTAAGGTATCTTCCAGAATATAAATAAAAACTATCAAACAAATTTTTATGAATAATAAAAGAACACTGTGTTTAGAAATGTAGTCACAAAGTGAAAATAGTAACTGTGCTTATGAAAACTGAAATAACACGCTTATAAGAAATCAAGTTTATATTCGAAGAAATATGGAGTGATAATTTAGCTGGTGAAGAATCATCTTTCAGTTTCTAGAATTTCCTATTTGGAAAACCACAATTTCATTTTTATTAACTAAAGCACTTCATATAGTTGAATAATTTTTTATACTATTTCCATCCTATATTCTAAATTAAGCGCGAAAATATTCTGCTTAATCGATTATCTAATCAATTCTTTATTGATCATTCAGTTCAAGTTAACAAAAGTCATAGTTAGTGTCTTTAGTTACTCAAGCACATCATACTATCTGCGCATGAAAATCCAGGAGAAATGATTCGACGAGAAACAATCAGAGGCGACAAAAAGATCATTGGTATATTTATTTATTTATTCATAAATAATTCTCTTATGTTAGCTACCAATATTAAAGGTCTTGTAAAATGGTTCAATGTGAAATGTGGTTATGGCTTCATTAATAGAAGTGACACAAAAGAGGATATATTTGTTCACCAGGTAAAGTTAAATTCTTAAGCATATATTTCTGGCAAGAGTGCAATATTAAAAAATAATCCAAACAAATGGCAAAGATCTGTTGGAGATGGTGAAGAAGTCGAATTTGACATAGTTCAAGGAGATAAAGGTTTTGAAGCAGTAAATGTGACTGGTCCACATGGCAATGTGGTACAAGGTAGCAAATATGCAAGCGACAGACGTCCTTACAGATCAAGATCTTTTGGACGTCAAAGAAATTATCAAATCCTTAGTGACCAACATCCTACCTTATCTCTAGTTAGAAGTTATCCAAAAACTCTATTCACAAGATCATCTTCGAATGGATCACATGTAGCTTCTCATGTTGATGACCATACCTCTGAAAAAGACGTCTTTAATGTTCAGAAACGTCGAATTCCTAGAAATCAATTTTTATTTTCACAGTCACATCTGGTACCATTATTACCTTTACATCAAAATGTCTTTCTTTCAAGGAGACCAGCCAACTTCAGACAGGTAAGTAAATTTCCTTCGACCAATAATTTAGTTTATTTTAAGCCTAACTATGCCCTTTATAATACTATGTTTTACTCAAATTTTCATGTCACTAACAAAGGTTGAGAATCAGACTAGATGACACCGCATGCTTTTAGTAAAGTAGATGGTACAATCAATGTAATTCCTTTTTGTCTGGTTATAAAGTGGTTGATATTTTTAGACGACAGGTAATCATTTCAATTTAAGAATTAAAGTCATAGATTTCTAAATGATATTTTATGAAAAGATGAGTTTTCAGAGAATATTTTAAGTTTTGAAATAAAAATTATCATTAAGGAATGAACTTTATTATACCTTAATTTTCAAGTCCCAGTTAATTGATTGTTCTCACATAAAGTTATTTTAAGTTACACTAATATTTGGAAGTATAAATAAAATTGGATTTTAAAATTTCTTGTGAAGTGGGTTTCTCACCTTTCTGTTGACTAGAATGTCAGTTAATTCTGACAAAGAAAGCAATTACAAAAGGTGACTAAATCATGAGAAATGTTCCACTTATTTAACCATTATGAACAACGTTCTAAAACCATTGGAGAGATCTATCTTAATCAACTACAAAATGGAATACTTTTTTTCTTGTAAAGATATTTTAGACACAAGTAAAGGTTTACATAATAGTAATGATAATTTTTATTTTTATTGCATATAAAGTTGAATTAAGGCATTCAGAAGATAAATTTTGCGAGATGATATTATTTCGTAGTTCCTCTACAATCGTTTCACATAACTAGTGTGGTTCACAATAATAATAAAATAAAATGTATGAACATTCACTCATTTACATTATAACAAAAGTACATACTAATGACCACTCATATTTAAATAGGTCAAATAGTCTATGATAGGCGAAGGTTAGAATCTATTGTTTTTTGTACATATAGTTTGGGAACTATAGGATTGATCTAAAATGTTTCCATAACCTTTAATAACCTTGAATTAGAGTTGTGTGATGAAATATTTGTGATATGACGTTAATAAATGCTTTGCATTGGATGATGATGGATTTCTAATCAGATTAATTACATTCGGCTTTTCCATTTTGATTTAATAACCACTTTGGAACATGTTCATTTCTCTGCCTCGGAACATTCTGTTGGTTCTACTCATATAAGTGTCATCGCAACTGCAAGTGAACTTGTAGATACAGTCTGAAGTAGAGTCCACAAAATTTCATCCTATAATCATAGGCAGAGGGGTCGAAAATGTTGAAGATGTGAGGGAAAGAGATGAGGCGTAAAATGTGCGCTTGGTGGTTTACCGAAGTCTTTTAGCTGTGAACTGCATAATCTGGTCACCCTTGAATGGTAGGTTAATAAAGATAGCTTTCTTTGATACGGAAGCTGCCTTTTCAAGATGTGGTCTATCCTTAACATGACAATTGATAAAGCTCTCTGGATAACCATTAGGTAATCAAACTGAATGTATTTGTCTATCAAAGTTGTCTATTTCATTTCTTTCTTCACCAGCTGCATTGACCAGTTTCTGTATCACTATGTCACAGATAAATGTATATACCAGATTGATTTCCTTATGAACCATCCTGCTACAATTACTATTGATTTTTTTCGATTTTAAAAATACCATGCAGTTAAAGAGACGACATTTAAGTCATTGTTGAGAGCCAAACCTTGTACTAAAAGGTTTCTAGTTGGATCTCATGAACCTCTGATGTAGTATTGGTACTATTAGATTACTGAAGTCAGTTGTGATGATATTCACTAACCTACAGCATAAATTATCAAGTTGAAAGAAGCTTAAGTTCACTTAGTGAACCTACTGTGGAGTATGACTTTTCCAGACATAATTTGTCGTGACTTTTGGTATACGACACAGTGCTAGCTTAGTCAAATACATTTGAATAAATGTTTCCAAATACTAGTTTACTCATATTTCTATGTCTTTTGAATAGCTTTGATACATATCTTATACAATTGGCCATGTGTTACTCGCTTTTGAATGTCTAATGTTAATGAGTTTCGAAACACAACAAACGATCGCCTAGTAACCATTGATTTTTAATGGTTATATAGTTCAGATTGGTTACTGATGTAGTTTATATCATAATAAGCGTTTATCAACATGATTGATTGCGTAATCAAGTGAAACTCTTCAAAAAGAGTAAAGTGTACAAATAAACTATGACAGCTCGAATCCAAAGGTGAAAAGTCAGTGACAGATATCCTAATTAAGTTACTGAGGAGTATGACAAAGAAGACTAAGTGCGAAATTCCGCTTTATAACATTAGTTATACCTGACGGGGATATGTCTATCATAGTCACGAGTTCTATTCACAAATTACCATGTGGATGATGAAGTAACAAAACTGGAAACGACCCTTTTTGTTAGCATCTGCATCCATCATTTTCATATACCATATGTAGTTTGCCATCAAGCTGTCATTAATGTTTTGATATTTTAAAAGACTGATTAATGAATAAAGAATTTTCTTTCCGATAAATTCATCATCAGATTCTACATTTATATGATAGTAATAATTTAAGAAATATTCTCATTGACAATTTCAAATTACATTAAATCAATAGTATCAATACGTTACAGTTCAAAAACATCAGTAAGTGAGAGATAGTATGCATTTATATAACACTAAAGTGAATATCAGATAAATTAAGGGAAGTAAGACACAGAATTTGTGAATTTATTGGTTCGAAAGCAGATCAGGGTATCATCAGTGGTTGAGCATGTTTCACAGGTGAAGTTCCAGTTGTCTTAAGCGAAATGGTGTGGCCTCTTCTATTTGAACTGTTCGGTACCTAAGGCAATTTATTTGGTACCTCATAGTTGATAGAAAAAGATTCTCTAATATTACCTTTATGCTCTATTTGTTATTAAAGCATATGATCACTTACAGATGCTTCTGAACTGTAATCTGTTGACATTATTGATTTAATGCCATTTAAAACACTAATGCTATTAATGACAATAATTCTTTAATTATTATGGACACATAAATATAGAATCTGATGAAGAAGTTGTCAAAATGAATATTCTTTGTTCATTAATCAGTTTTTTTTCAATGGGCATCTTTCATCAGTTTTAAAAGATATTTAAAAGCTTTAAAATAAAATTACTTCCATTACAATGTATGGGAACATCAGCATTAGCAATTTTAATATTTATTTATAAAAAGCAGTTTCAAAAATCCTTCAGTTCGACCAAACTTTGTTTCATTATGCAAACTAACCAACTTCAGTCCTTACTGACTCTGAATGACATGAAGTTGCTTTATATGCTTTACACTTTGTTTTCTTCTTTAGTACTGGCTTTCGGTATAGCATCAAATAAAGACGGGAAGTCAATTTATGAGGTTCGGACTCTGTAGCGAATGAGTTGCTTATGAAACTTGAAGTACATCCATTATCATCGTCTTTTTTTTATTACAGCTTGATACCACACCGTATTTTCAGTACAAGTATGGTATTTTTAGCATGGATATCGGTAGCCCAAATTTCACAGGCCGACCATAGATATCGGGTGTGCGTCGGCAGGGGATCGAACCCCAGACCATGTGTATGGTCGGCGAGAGTCCTAACCACTGTGCCACCGACGCACTTCCTTATCCATTAGTATCAGGTAAAGTAGGGTTTCGTGGTAGGATGGTTAATGGAGGTCAAACGAAAGCGTAGCATTAATCCATGAAGTCGTTGAGTGCTGGTGTGATTAAGATGGAGAGATTCTTGTTGAGAAGGTTGTGAAATTCGCTCACAATGGCATGAGTGCATTTGATTTTCCTATAGATTTTGAAATTCCTCACTTATTTCATTATTCCCCTCTCTAACATATCTTCATTACATTTCCTCTGCACTTTTATGTGTGGTTTCTCGAAGGGTAAAAGCTTGCACTGATGCACTTTTATGCAAACTTTTACGTTGTTTTGTCAGTTAACTACTAATCCGTGGTTTTCAAACATGTTATTTTTATTTATCTGTCATCACCGTTATTACTTTTTACCTAATGTGGGTGATAACTCTAGTGGCAATAGAAGGTTCCGTTTTGTAACCAAGTGTAATGGATAAATTTAAAGTAATACTGAATGACTTTATCTGCTTAGAACTTTGCGAAAAATTGCTTCGGTTCAATCGGCCACACTTTAGTGAAAGAGAACATAGTTACACTCGTAAGCTTTCTGAAACCGGTTTATGGACAGTTTGAAAGGCTCAGTGTTACAGGTGCTTTAATATGATCAAACCAAACCACTGAATTAATTCATAATGTCCTTAATTGTAAATCTTAGGCATATATATGTATACAAGCCTACAATACCTACCTCTTATTCTCAGAATGTTGAGTGAAAATAGTTGGAGACTGCTAGTGAAATGCCTCAAAATCATTCACAATATATCAGTATTATTTTGTGTACCCACCAACATTTTAAACTCTTACATAGATTGAATCTTTTTCTCTCTTTTAATCATATTTCTTCCCTGTGTCTTTTCACCTTCAAATTTTGTCTCTTCATTGTTTTTACATGGTTTTTTACACTTCTATGCAAAATTCTGAGCTGTTATTGTGTTTATGGTTCGCATCTAAAGACTGAGGGCATGCGCCATTGTTTTTCATTACTGAAACAACAAAATGATTGTTATGTGTGACATTCAGATAACTTTTTGAATTAGTTGAATTCTCTAAGCTAGTTGATTTCATTGAGAGGCTTTCATCGTTCTTCTAGACAACATCTTCAGCGCAGGTTTTAGAATAAAAGTGAACTCATTTAAATTCTCCATGACTGACGTAATTGTATCTACTGGAGACTGACATCTGAGCCAAAAATCTTCTCCATTATTCAGATAACATATTTTCACCATTTCATTTCGTTTTGTGGAAAAATATGTTATAATTTTTAAAACAATGGATGATTTATCAAGCACATTGTAAAATAAGGTATTTGAGTGATTTCTAATATTGTTTCCTTTTTTAGCCATTACCATATCGAGGACGGTATTTAAGACCATCAGTGTTATTTAATGGTTATCGTCGAAGTGCTTACTTATTAAAAAGAAAATTTTCAAATATCAATGAATCAAATACAAATAATTTCCACCAATTTAACGTAGCACGTACAAACTCTAATCTTTCAAACACAATTGGTACAAACCCACGTTATCCTTTTGTACCACAAGGTATAAATCGTCGTTTTGAAACACCAATTTTATCATTACCATATACTAATATACGAGGTTATCGAAATTTCCGTGGAAGAGGACTGTTTAACTCTGGACGTGGTCGTTATATTATCAATCGTAATATATTCCCACGATATAAAGAATCAAAGAAATTGTCTATGCAAACAAGAATTGAAAAGTCTACTCAAGAGAAAATAATTCCATCAAATAATAAAGTTAAAGAAACAGTGTGTAAGGATAAGCCTGAGGAATCTACAGGATTATTGGAAAAAGAAAAGGAAGGGCAATCGATAAAAAAAGGAGATGATATAGTAAGTTTCTGAAATTTCAATGTATAAAATACCGCCACTTTTATACACAGATGAATATACAAAGTAGCGAGCACCAGTCTGTCAAAGCTGTTGAACAAGCAGGGGTAAGTTATTATTGCTATTTTTCTCCTGATTTTGTTGATACACTTATATTTGAACACACAAAATAGCAATCAAAATAGGGAGATAATAATCTTATCAAATTCATAATTTGCAAACTGGTTAGCAATTTGTAATGTACGCGGTTCGAGTGATGATATTTCACCCTAGTTGGCTTTGGAAACCAAGTTATTCAAATCACAATATGTGATCTGCTTGAAAACCATCAATGGTAATCAAGAAAACAATCATATCTACTCAAAAGTATATACTACTAATTGATTAAGATAAGTAGTTATATGCCACTCATATCAACTAAACGAGTGAAGTAGTCGTCTGGTCTCTAGATCACCTCGATATGGCTGGCAAGCACTACTATTTGATGTGAGTGGTATACAAATACTCATCTCAATCAATTGAGGGTCTATACTTCTAGATATTAATATCAGTACAACCACAAATCGTTTTGAAGATATGTTGGTATTTATTGTTGTATTTAAATGAAAAAACTTAGTTTCTAGTAAAGGTTTAATAGTTCTTTTAATGCAATCAAATATTAATATAAATATTAATATCAATGATACATTTAAAAATGTGACCAATTTAGCTTTTATGTGGGCCAAGTTAAAGTATATCGATCCCGGAGTGCGAAAGCACCAGCGATCTTGAACGCATATCATTCGTTGGATAACAGGACCTACCACTATTACAAAGCCACTACGAACTAACTGAGGTGCGAATTTCATCCTGATATCGCTTTTATGTACTGTTTATGTAATAAGTTGACAGCTCGTCACGGGTAGGACTAAGGTAACCATTAGGGTTGAAATCAGGGTTAAGTTTATGATCAGAGTTAGGGTTATAATTAGGATTAGGTTTGGAGTTGGGATTACGCTTAGAGTATTTTATAATGTGCATTTTTCTAGAAAATAGTTTTCGATTCCACTACTGGAACCCAATCGAGGGCTTTTGGGGAAGACTGAAAAACAAGTTAAGAGGGATAAACGGGTCAGAAAATCTCATTTTCAGTCATTTCGACGAATGTATTTACAGTAGCTGGTCCAGCCTAAAAATTGATATTATTCATTATAATTGGGAGATATATTGAAGTCATGTTAGTAAAGACTACACTATTTAATAAGAGTAGTCGTGCGTTCGCATTCTATGGGTCAACATAGTTTAACTTTGCCTTTACGTTTTGCCCGGAATTAATCACATTGACTTGGTTTTCAGGTGAATACGACAGATCTGTTTCTCCTTAACGCAAAGTTTTATGAGTTATTTGCTAAGTTAGAGGGATAGACAACACTGAATGTTTAACTCTTGTGAACTATTTTCATGTTTTAGGCGCTTATTTTAGTAGCCATTTCTGAATGCTATTGATTGCGTAGAGTTTTAGATTGGTTATTTAACCAATTCTGATGATTTACCTCTTTCGTAGAATACAATTCAGTATGTCTTTTTTCTTAGCGAGTGACATTATTATTTAACCTTTATTGGAATTTCTCATAACCTTTCAGGAACATTTTGACTTTACAGCTTTGCTTACCACCCATCTTTTGATTCACATCATCGCCTAGGTGTTTTGAAAAGAACACTATTAACCCGGGACACTATGTCACCGCGTGACATTTTAGACGCATCAAGTAGGCGAGATTAAAATAATTTTGTCTCTGATTTATAAAGGTTTTAAAAAGCCATGATCAGTGTACATACCAGAAAGTACAGCATCTATATTCTGCAAGTTTGGCGCAAGTTTGATAAACAGTCAAAATAATACAATTTAATATTATTTTTTCTATTCTTTCGCGTTCCCAGTGGAAAATACGGCTTCAGGCTAAAGCTGTGAAGTTTCATTAGTAGTGGTGCTTTTGACAGGATATGTTGCTAGCCTCACGACTAAGCTTCCTTCATTAACGGGCTTACTACTGACTAAGTGAGGTTATAAAGAGTGTGTCGGCCCGGGATCGAACTTCGGACCACTTGCTTGGTTGGCCAGTGTCCTACCACTAAACTGCCTATGTAAAATAACACAAATTAGTCTTTAAATCGTAACATATGTCACTAGCTAGCACTGACAGCTAACTGCAATTCAAATGAGGTATGCAATTTGTTTTTCAAACTAGACGTTTGGCGAGACAGAATAATATTTTACAACTTTGCGTAAAAGAGAATCAGTGTAAGTTATTACATTTAGTAAATTCATAAAAAAAGTAAAAAAATAACTCAAAGATACTATAATAGCAAAGAATTAATATGAGAGAAATAACAATTAAATGAAAATCTAGTGGATGGTGACTAGCAGTTGAATCCAGGGTGCACATTTCGTCTCATTTAGGACTCGTCAGCTTTATTTGCTCGTATTCTCTCTGTGATTGATGGTTTTACCACTGAGGCTCAGACCCAGTAACCATGGTTTCAGACGCCAAAGCGTCATCCACCAGACGACTTGGGCAGCAAGAGCCACCACCATTTCAGTACAATCAATCAACGGGAAAATCAAAATTGAATTATGAATAAATAATTAAATGAAGATTAACGAAGCTTTATAAATGATAACTTGGAGTCATTTAGCAAAAACTTCTAACAAAACAATTTGCTCTTATCAACACTTGTCAATGACTTGTGTGTGTAACTTTAAAAGTGCATATGTCCCATCTCAGATTTAGATCAGGTGCTTTCTATTTTTACGAAAATTAAACAAAATAACATTACTGTTTACATCAAATTATGTGGCCTGATCGGCTGAGACTTCAGTGCTAATTAATGCCGATTTAAATATCACAAATAAAATGTCTTTCATTACCTTTGCAGATATATCTAACCAATAACTACTGACAAGTATGAAGCAGATACTTTCTTAGGCTTTGATTATTTTCAGTCACAACAGTTGCAGTTACAATTTAATAAATTTAAATATTCCATCTGATAATTGAACTCCACCTCTGTCGCTTTTGTTTTCTTTACTAGCCAAAAGTAGAACCCAGCGGTGATACACCAGAACTTGGAAAAGAAACGGATGAGGAAACAGATCAGGTTAATAAATAATTTGATTATCTTTTTACACAAATTTATTAAAATCCTATTGCACATTTTTATAGTCTTTAGATAAGTCTAGTGATAAATCAGAAGTATTAGAAACAGCAAAAGAAAATGACAAATCGGTTGATTCACCGGAAATGGTAAGCAGAATTTATTTTTTCTTAAATAATCCACTTTCTTTCTCTAAAATAGATAGATAAACTTTTATCTGAACTGCCTAAATTACAGCTCGCAAATGCATAGGCATGATTTTATTACATACATGAGTAAGATACTGATGTATATTTTGATGACCAATTACCTTTAACCTGACAAAAACGACCATACTTTGTCGAATAGAACAGAATCATTAAAACACTCGTTATCTTTCTGATCATCAACAGATGTCTGCTGTTGTTGTTATTGTTGTTCCTTAAACTTAACTCTTATTGTCATCTCATTTTACAGGATGGTAGAATGAGATGTGTAAATGTTGTTTAAATAAGCATTCAAGTATTTATTCAACTTGTAACTGTTTGTTAATATGTTAATCACACAATAATATTGTTGTACGTTTAGAAAAATATTGACTGTGATAGAACAAATATATTGCAGATATTTTAAAGAGAACTATTTGTTCTCATAAATGTGACTTTTGTTTTCTTAAAACGGTTTGGACAACGTAAGCCATTTATTAGTATCATAAGTATTGTAACTAAGGAAGATAGGAGACTTCGTAACAGACCTTTAATACGGAAAAAACACGTTATATTTCTACATTCTTAGCCACATTACAGTTAGGATAGGTTAGAGGAGAATAAGATGTTCTGATTGGTTGGCAAATGGCCCAAGGCTAAAAACAAGCTGTCCAATCAGGTCATCCTATGTCCACAATGTAAACTAAATCCAAATTTGAGGAATAAACACTTCTACCTCTGTAACCATACAGTGAATTAACATGTTGATTCAGTTTTGGCCGCTTCCTATCAATCTGCATCACTCTGTAGTATTATTAATTTACCCTAAAGTTTTTTCTCATCAATCAGTATGACATTTAAGTTTGGAAAAGACCGACAAAATTCCATCATACCAAACATAGCTGTTGCACAATCCCTTATTTATGTAACCAGTAACCACTGTTTCATATGTTAACACTCCGAAGTTTAGTGTTACACATAACTGAGTATACGGCATTTCTGTTTCTGAAGTGCGAAATCATTCTTTTTTGTCGTAAAGAAAACTTAGCAGGCTAAAACTACCACTACAAAGCAGTATAAAAATTCTGAATTACAGTTTTGGTTACATTCGAGTGTACAGCGGTATTCCGCTATGATTTTACCCCGAAGAAAACATTTCAAAACAATTTTAATTCCTCATATTATAAGTCTGTCACATTTTGGTAATGCGAATTTTATGAATTGTAAACTTATTTTTAAGGCAAAACTAATTTAGCCACTGGATATTGTGTTTAATTATTCATGATTATTGGACTCTGCAACACACAATTAATTTTGTAGAGATCTTTAACATTCACCATCACTTCAATTAAAATGCACATAAACTAAGTATATGTTCAACTTTAACTACAAAGTTGTACTTTAACTTGCTGATCAAGCAGTTTCCATTCATCTCCTTTCGTAGATTCACAGTTATTTCTTTCGTTCTGAGTCGAGGTCATCATGAGCGAAATCAAAATAACCCAGCTAAGAGATCTAAAATAAAAGTTTCTCTCCCCTTGTGTTCATTCATCAAAACCTACAAGTGTAAATGTGCAAACGTTTCAGTCATCAGTGTGTTTTAGATAAACCTCTTACTGATGGTTTTTGTGTGACTTGTTTTCAAAAACGAGACAGGTCATCTTGGTAGGTTTGTCAAAGTCCATTATCGAAAGCTTTGAGATTTTACTCTCCAACTGTTGACAATTAGATGATTATATGTCGAGATAACTCTCCATACTTATTCATTCCACGAATCTTTGTTAAAAGAATTAATATTATTTTGTGTATAGCCCGTAGACAAACCAATATGTTACTCATGCATCCAGAAACAATAAAAGAGCCTTGTTTGTTTTTAATTCAATTTTGATTTTCCTGTTGATTGGTGCTCGTTGCACAAGAGGTAGCTCCCGTGACCAAAGTGGTCTAGTGGATAACGATTTGTAGTTTGAAACGATAGATAATGGGTTCGAGTCTCAGTGGGAACTCCGTCACTCGCTGAGAATGCAGGTATATCCAGATGACTAGTCACAAAGAGGACAAAATTCGCATACTGGATACCACTGCTAGTCAACACCCACCAGAATAGAAGATGACGTTATCCTAGAGCATAAACTGATTGCATTTGGTTTGAGAAATCGAGTTAGAAAAGTTGAATAAGTTGGCTGACAAAGACACGGGGAAAACTGATGATATTTCGAATTAGGAAATCCGTCAAGATGTTACCGAATGCATGTAACATCATGTAAAGAAACAGACAATAACAGCAAAGTAATGATACAAATGAAGCTTAAGGTGTCTTATACGAAATGAACAGCTCGAAACACTTCACGAAATAGATATGAAAAGAGGAATGTTCATAGACATCTTTCGTTGAAATCTCCAGTGAACTGAATGACATTTAATACTTCGTTTGCGACATTCAAATGTAAATCTTTGCACTTTAGCTTAATAGTCTAACCAGCAGTATTTCTAATGGTCATGATGATGTCTAGTTAGGGACCACCGTCATTTCAGGCATAATCAATCCCACTAACTTTTTATTCTTGCAACCGTCACTCATTTTAATCCATAAATGGTAGCTTCGTATAGATTTCTTTTTCTTGCTAGTTGATACTTCCCATTAGCACTGGAACTTAGAGCTGTTAAGTTATACCATACAGTCCCTTTCTTTAGATTGGTCTCTCATTTATATTATTATCAATAATAATAATAATTTGGCCTCTTCCCCCTTTGTTGTTCTTTTAAAACTGATTTTAATGATATGATAACTGATTTGTTCTTATTTTTCAGCTTTCAAAGTGTGCATTATGCAAACATTTACTTTAATTTTCGTAATTTTTTCTACTCTTTAAGTGTTGGCCTAATTTTTTTGACAGTTGAAAACATTTATCCCCCAGTACAAATTTAAAACAAATAACAAAGATTAATAAAGCAGAATCTAATAAATTCACCAAATTTCTGTAAGACTCTTTAAGAGAATACTCTACATACAAGGATATACAAGTACCACTTGAACTACATTAGGAGATATAAGACTGATAAGTAAATAAACTACACTGAATCAATCATGTAAAAAGATAAGTGTGAATGTTTTTCAGATAACGTTCAAATAGATAAGGGTAGGCGTGTATGACAGATTAAAAGTAAGGTAATAACACATTACGGGCCAGTTACATCACATAAATAGACAATTAGTTATCAGAGGAAGAAGTCGAATATATTAAGATGTGTCAATATTAATAATAATGGTAATGATAATAATAGTAATAATAATAACTTTAAAGCGGTACTGATAAGGGATAGTTTTAAATGAATCAGGAATAATAATAAGGAGCAGAATAAAATATAGAGTAAAAATATTGCTGATAACAGTCAATAATTAAGATATATTACCACTGTAAATTCAGAGTGACCACCATCTGGAACTAAAGACCTGGTTTATAAACTCTAATTGCACAAGCCTCCGTAATTGCGTGCATCTTCCTGTTTCTTTGTCTGCCGACAACAGTGAATGACTTCACGGAGTCAACACCATGTCCGTAGCCTACAACATTTGTGGAGTACGTAACAATATGACTGTACACTCTTTTGTTAGATTTTGAAATTGTACATGACTTTTGTTTACAACGATTCATGTTGGAATATAAATAACTTTCCAGTACAATCTAAAATACAGTGTACTGTTGGTCGTTTCGTCTTCTCACTGGTCTATACTGACAACTTGCTTCACTCATAACCGCGTTGTATACTTTGGATTTTTGCAAGAAACTCTTATCCTCATCCAAAGACTGTTCCAAAACCGGTACACAGCTTCTACCAGTAGACACGACTCCAGCAGTGAACGCTTCTGGGGATTATATTAATAATTTGTAGCCGTGGACTTTAACTGTATATCCAAGTAACCCTTTAATTAATATAACTCATTACTGTATTTTTTAAAATATACCGTTATACTATCATCTCATTAACTTGGATTTTTATTCACATACTTGTTATGCTACTGAGCTCTCTGGACAGTCCCCTACACATGCGTAGCGGTAAATAATTCCCCAAAATTATTGACCACAGCAATCATCACTCAACACTGGATGCTGACCATCGCTGTTTAAGTCGACTTGTTTAACTGAAGGCTTCCGGTCAAGCATCCCCGCCATTTGGTACTCCGTCGTGTCACGTGCGTGCACGATCACTAGCTAGCTAAGCACTCACTTCAGCCCGCGACTTGGTCCCAAATATGTTACGTACTTTGGACGACTAAATCTGGTCTTTTGCTTTATCTTTGGTACTCGAAGAGCAAACACTATAGAAGTTGTTGGTATAAGATCTTGCGTCAGTATAACCCGTACAACTCGCGAACGTCGGTACCTGCAACCTCTAAACTGGTGAGCCCGACGTGATTGTTATTGAATTTTTTGACACTTTGACTTCAGCTGTTTAATCTCATACTCCCCTCCCCTTATCTATTTGAACATTATCTGAAAAACATTCACACTTATCCTTTTAAGTAATTGCTTCAGTGTAGTTTATTTACTTATCAGTTTTATATCTCCTAATGTAATTCAAGTGGTATATATATCTTTGTGTGTAGAGTACTCCGTTGAAGCGTTCTACAGGAATCTGATGAATTTATTAGATTCTGCTTTGTTAACCTTTGTTTTCTGTTCTAATTTTCTTAGTTAATCATTACCTCTTTGACATGTTGATACTGACAATTGACTGTTACTCATTAGATTGGTAAACTGTGGAATCCTTTTAGCATAATAGTCAACAGTGAATATTAGGCTATAATTTGTGTATTCGCGAAAAATTAACTTTATTAATCAGTGGGTTTAACTCTTTCCAATAATTTCGCCGAAATTTTCCATTTATATTAATAATAACACACCATTTCACGAAAAGTATTCCCAACAGGCTCTTGTAAACTTTTATCAACAGCTGCAAACTTCGCTGGTTCCATGTCGAAGATTAAGCGGTCAGAAAGAATTATTAACAGAAACTGTGGGAGCGAACCAACCTACAAATATGTAGTATAAGTGGAGATGAACT